CCCCAAAACCCCAAAACCCCAAAACCCCATGGAGACAATTGAACATAGTTTTAAGAATTTATATCAATTAATAATTATATAGTTTCCATTGTAAGCATTGTGAGATTTAAATTGAAATTTATCAGTACATAAGCCCTTTAGGTCTCTTATCTAAATGCTCTTTAAGTTGCTGAGCCATTCTGTCAAAGTAAGCTTCTAAGTCTGGATAATTTTTGATGACCTCTAAATGCTCCTTACTATGGATGCATGATTCATTGTATACAAACATGTAAGCCCAGCCTGAAAGAAGAAAGTCTGCAATGGTAATCTAATCGCCTGAAATATAAATGTTGCCAGCTTTCAACAATCTTCTCTAAACATGCTAGCAATACTTAGGTAAATGCTTTTAGAAGTAATCATCTTAGCACTTTTTAATCTTCTCAGGCTCACTTTGGAAGCAGAACTTCCAATAATCGTCATGAAGGTCATAATTTAAGTCAATCATTGAATCAACCTTCCATGCATCGATAGGATCCTCAGGATAATAGCCGTACAGTTTGCCAAGCAGTCTCAAAATTGATAATGATTCAGCATAGTACTCTCCATCTAATTCCAAAACAGGTAAAGCATCAAATTCAAATCGATCGTCCTTGCCTTTAATCTTTTGAAATTCCTCATGACTAGTGTACACATCTTCATACTCTACGCCTGCATGCGAGAGAAGCATTCTGCTAGGCTCAGCTCTTCCATACATTTCAAAGTAATACAACTTGATTTTATGATTAGCATTGTGATGATGATGACTATCCCTCTTCCTAGACATTCTTTAGGCTTTGTAGAAGATTCTATTAACAAACAACTTTTCATCTGATTAATTCTCACTGGTTTCTTCAATATGCTGTTTAACTTCACTATATTTTCTTTTGCTAGGTGTTTTCTTGCCTTCCGTATAATTTTAATGATTTGCATGCTCCTCTTCTTCTTGAGCATGCTGGGACTTGCTCCTTGATCTTCTTCTACTTTCCTTTTTGTGAGTCTCATTTTTTTATATAAATCTTTCATCCTGCTCATCTTCGTTTTCATTAAGTTTAGTCTTTGACTAGTGAACTTTTGACCTTCTTCCCTCCATTTAAACTAAGAAACTTCTGCAGTTTTAAATTTAAATTTTAAATCCTAACTTATATATTTTAATTTACTCTTACTTTTAGTCTTATTGCTTCATGTGGGGTTTTGGGGTTTTGGGGTTTTGGGG